AATAATAATAAGATGAGGTGGTGTAGCGGTTAGAACGCTGGCCTTGTAATCCTGGTGTCTCGGGTTCGATTCCCGGCGGTGCCCGAATTTATATCTTGTGTTGGGCAAGGCCGTGGTCTAGGCAACCCGGAGTTTTCCTCCGGGGGCTTCCCCGGTTTCTCTGTGGCATCCCAACAATTACTCCATTCACACACAGAAGAAGGCAATGGCAAACCACTTCTGGATCATCTGCCAAGAACGTATATGAACAGGTCCCAGTCCGAGAAAAGGATCGAAGGATCCTGTTCATATGGACCTGTCGTCAGACAGAACACTAAATAAATAAATAAATTTAACTTAAATCAAACCGTTGCCTTGAGACATAAATGTTGTTAAAAACAATACATTTTTACCAGGCGAACTTAAACCAATCACCAAAAATTCACAGTTCGCAGTAAACTCGTTAAGACGTTCAGAATTATATCCAAATATCGATTAATATCTCTCGATGGATTCTTTGCTAATTCAGGCTTATAGAAATTCCACAGACGCAGCAAAGAAGTTAGTGAAAGATATATTTCCCGAACCTCAGGTAGAATGAAAAAGTGTGTGACAGGTTGCTTTAAGAACCTAAGTTTCGGGTGGGAAGGTAAGATGGATAGTGTAAAGACGAGGAAGTGATAAATAAATGTGTGGGAGAAATTTCCTTTATCCCCTATACACCTACAGCTCCTAAGGTGTATAAAACGGTAACTGTTGTTACAGTGTGTTTCCAAAGTCAGTGATTGTTCATAGGTTACGCTAAAACTTACGAAACAAGAGACAGACGACGAGCGTTAACAGAAAAACTAAGGCGTTAAAGTATATCCATAAAATATGACATCTATAAACGTCAACAAACAGAGTGGATGTAATAAAAACCAAGTCTGTTTTTGAAAAAAAAATATTTTTTCTAAGAAAAATCTATAGACATTTAAAAAAAAATGTTAATATTCTGTTGATTTTATAAAACGTCTAACAGTTCAAGGACGCGATGTAAAACATTAGATTATAAAATGTTCCTCGAATTTGCATGAGACATATCCTACCTCCTACGATCTCTAAGTTCGTCATAAAATTCCCTAATTTTTTACCCTGAATATTCATATCTTTACGTGTTAAATTTTATCAGTCTAATCACAATAAAATATTATTATTAAATATTAAAATATTAAAATATTACAATTAACATTTTAATATATTTTAAATATTTAAATGTTAATTGTAATATTTTAATATTTAATAATAATATTTTATTGTGATTAGACTGATAAAATTTAACAAGTATATATTCAACACAATATGACGCAACATTATCATCTCATTCATATCTTTGTTTAAAATCCCAACTTAAGTATCTCACCCAAGACCAGTCGCGCTTATTTTAAAACTTCCTACAAAATTTATTTGTAACATCCATTTTAATATTATCCTCCCACGTCAAAGTCACCAACGTAATCTCTACTTGAAATGATTTTATTAAAAAAATGTACGCATTTATTAAATACCGTAACAAGTATAAATTTTGGAGAGAATTATAACCTAACTTTCTTAATCCTCTTACGAATTTGATACAGCGTTAATAAAACTGAAATAGGACTGAGTTCATTTAGCAGGAGAGACGTATAACATCCTACATCAGAGCATCTATCAACTTTGGGGCTTCCTTGCCGGTAGAAGAATCTTGGTCTACCTGTACATAACGAATTCAAGCAACTTCGATCTTTGTAAAGCAACTTTCGCGTTCAATGCTCTCGTATTCCATAACCCCCATTCAGAAAACTCATTCTTACGTTACGTCGCTCTTAAAAGTTCTTTTCAAGGCGACGAAAAAAAAAGCATAAGAAACTTCTTTTTCCTTTCGTCTGCGTCCCTTTTTCCTTCTAGAAGCTTTTGAAAGGACATTTTAAAAATATTTCTAAAAGGAATATAAAAGAAACCACGGCCTTCAAAAGAGATTCTTCTTACCAGACGTAGCCTAAGGTGGCTTTGCACAATGATTACCTTATTGCTAAGGATCAGGTCTATGAAGAATTTTTGGTGTCTGAGGCCACAGTTTAGAAACGAAACCCTAGGACACATTCGAAATTAATAAATAAAACAAATATTTACACCATGTATTAACCATTTCAAATATAACCTTTGATAATTTGCATAATATAAAGTCTGCATGCAACGTCTAATTATTATAACAATTATTTATTTTAATCCGTCTTATCACAATATTTTAAAATTTCTTATAATTAAGATAATAAAATATCATTGATGTTCCATATCGATTGATCGATTTACATTTCGAAACATTTTACACAACATGTTTCAGTTTTTATAAAACCATCATCAGGTGTAAAATATATTTAAGAACTTAAAACTCAATTATGATTTCTGTAGTTTTTT